AGTTCCAAAGTAAAACGTTCTGGATTAACACAGATTTAATTGAGTAATTTTGTTTTGGTTGAATGTATCTCATGAATATAGATTACTTCTTAATACAGGACAAATCAGTTGTCAGTTTATTAAATTAGTTGTCACTTTATCAGTCACAATCAGACAACTTGACAGAGTGTTTGTGATATGTGCTATGTGACACACTTAAATAAATTAATACAATTAATTTATTTACATAATAGCTTTTTTATGTTGTATAAAATATTAAATAAAATACATAAAACCCAAAAGTTAGCAAGTTTGAAAAAAAAAACAAATGAAAATTAAAGCAAATAATTGTTACATAAATCTGTTATATATTTCTTTAAAAAAAAACTGTCAACCTTAACATTAAATGAAATATTCTAAAAATAAACTGTTTTTAAATGGCACACAGAGTACAAGAACCATGTATAGCTGCAGGTTCAGATGCCTATCTATGGGCACATGACATGAATGTTATTTTGCTTTTTAAACATACAGTATATTCTCTGTGGTTACCAAAAGCTTAATCGACACAAAATCTTTTTTATTGCATTTATGTACATTTAATGCAACAATTGACAGTGTCCTCATATGAATAAGTGTCAAATCTATTTTATTATGTGTTTTCTCTTTCAACTTGGAAAATGTGGAGCACAAAATAGCACTCCTTGCCTTGGCCCCAACTACTGCCACCTAGGGCTTGCCTGGTGTATTTAAAATGTGACGTACAGTACTTCACAAACAAGAGTTTAGCTAAATTCTTCCCCAGGAGTCTAGGCAACATTTTAAATGACCCTAGTTATGAATTTGCAATGTGGTACATGATGTTTTGTTTGTTTGTGGGGTGACAGGACAAGACAACAAACAATCCTTCTGTGTCCGTGTTATAGCTTGCCTGCACGGATATAAATGCCATTTTTCTTTTTGTCTCCTTCTGGCCTGTTACTGTACAAACTTTATATGCACTAGGGTCTCAATATTTGCGATGTTTCAATGCAGAGAACCTTTGTGAATAGCTAAATTTGCATATATCAGAAATAAATAAAAAATGACTGAAGCAATTCAAGGAAGAAAATATAGATGTTAAGGCCTGTCAAAGGTATTTGCTTCTCATTTACACAACAAAAATGACAGGCTCAAATTAATACATATTAATTATGTAAATGCAACATGTGGAAGTGTGCAATCTCATTCACTTCTAAATGACTTGTGTAGTTCATGCCTAAAGTGGAAGCTTCCTACATCAGGAGTACAGCAAAGTTTACCTGAATTGGATGGTCTATGAGCACATTTTCTTGATGCAAACCCCGAGGGAAACCCCTGAAAAATTGAAAACGCTTAATACTTAGGACTGTTTTACGGGACTGTCAGAAATC